TGGGCATTCAATCTCCATGGCCCATTTAGTCCTTGGCCTCTCTGCTGAGATGGGCAATTACTGTCAACGCTGGTGGTTTGCTCTGTGATACTGCCCGCTCAGAACTGGACTCAGGCCATCAAAGAGTTGTCAGAGCAAAACAGCTCCCACTCGTGATCAACCCGGGCTGCATCTGAAGCAGGAAACAAGTGGTGAAAGTTTCTGTATCTCCGATCACCAGTCGAACCTGGGACCTCTGAAGCTTAGCGTATGAGCCCCTACTGCATGAGCTGAAAGATACATAGCTCTTAGCCATGGCTGTACCAGACTCATCAATTGCTAGATGGTCTAGGTGCCACTAGAGGGGGACAGAGCGCCACACCAAGCAGGCGTGGGTCACGCGAGCAGTCCCAAATCACAAAAAAGAAAATAATTAATTCATTTCCACTGATAGGAGGCCAGTAAGGAAAAGCTTTTTTAAATGTGCAAGTTGCACTGCGTCCGGGTTAACTGGTTTCCATTATAGTGCAGTCAGCTGTACAAATGGGTGACATTTTTCAGCTGAAACTTTTTTCCCAGTGAAAAATGGAGAGTCAGTGACTCTGGGCTGCTTCACAGAGTTGTGCCGGTTTTGCCAAACAGTGCGTGTCGAAACAGAAATCGGAAAGAAGTCAACAAACGTTTTTGATTTTTTTTTTTTTATTCCAAATGACTTTTTGTTTTAAAAAGCTCCAAATCTCAATGCAAAATTTTACTGCGGGTCAAACAAAATGTTTTGTTCTACCTGAAACTATTTTGCGGAGCTGAAAGTTTCAATAAACTTTTGTTTTTAGGGCAGCCTGAAACAATCTCCCCTGCCCCCAATTTTTCAGAATTGCCAGCCGACCAAAAAAATCAGCCATTTGCACACTCACTTGTGCCCCTCAAACTCAGATTCAATTTAGAAGGCACGGCTAAATGGGGAAATTGACCCATTGCTATGACCTTTGCCCTCACTCTCTCTGAGCACATCCGGACAATGGCTTAATTGATAGTACGGACGGGACAACACCATTTTCAGCACCACGAACACTTCCTGGTTTTGCCCTGTCCATACGAGCAATGAAATTGCTTCAAGCACCATTTGGCCACAAGCATCCTTAGCGCTGAGTCATGATCATGACACTGGACAGACATGGAGAGTGTGAAAGGAAGACCCAGTCATCTGGATGAATAAAGGTAAAGCTAAGAATTACTGACCAAATTCACAGCTGACGTAAAGTGGGGAGAACTCCGTTAAAGTCAACCGAACAATGCCTGGTTACGCTTGAGGCAAAACTGGCCCAGTGTGTGGAAATAAAGCATTTCCAGAGGAAGGTTGGCCATGAACATCACAATCCCGATCCTTCTTGATTCTTGAGCCCTTTAGGGGAAAAGTCTGCATTGCAGACTGCGCTGCTGTGAAAGCCACGGCTGCAAGTCCCCTGGATCTCTACCTCCCTGCACTCTCCTCTTGCTGCAAGCAGAGTTTGGCACAAGTGTCTCTGTGAAGTAAGAGGCTTTTTCGTCTTGTTTTAAAGAGATAAGATAATGACACATGGATTTTAGTAGGCAAGATATTGGTTGTTATGTGCAGAAGGGAGTTGGAGCGTGTGGAGGGGGAAATAGGCAAAGATATAATCTCTCTCTCTGTCTCACACACACACTCATTTCAGACACACAGTCTTGTGGCAAAAAAGAGAGCCCCTCGTTTTCCATCTGATTCCTGCTCTCTAACAATACTGCATCCATTCTCCTCTCCTAATATTAGTCCCCAGCCAGTCTTTTCCAGTCCTTAATATGAACCCCGTGGAGGCAGCAAAAGGGTGTTGTAGTTAAGCCTGACATCACGCCCTGCCCCCTTGTAAATTCCAGTTTAGACCTACCATTTACAATCCCAGGGCCAAATGCATCCCTCTGATTATTCCATGGACTTAATTACACCAGGGACGATAACTGCAGTAGATCGATGGCACTGGTGGGAATTTTAACCTCAAAGCTCAAAGTGAAACTTTGCAGAAACAGACACATTTTGAGTGGTTCCAGTTTGAAACTGGGCATATAACCACTAAGCTGGATCACATAAGCCCCAATTCAGTGAGGTACGTAAGCATATGCCTAGCTTTAACCACGTAAGTAGTTACACTGAAGTGCCAGTACAGAGATAAGACAGTCACACCAGGATATTTATAGTTAATTTACTCGTAAATGGTTTGGATGGCAACTGCTGTTCTCCTGAGACTTCAGGCTAAGATGGACCATATCGCAAAATCATGTGTCTGGAGATAAACTATAGTAAGACCAGCACAAGGAATTTCAGCATCATCAAACGTGACACCGAACACTTGCCTTGGCATCAAACCTGCTTCTTGAACCCTCTCCTAAATGCAATCCATAACCAGTTCTGAAACTTGCCTTCTGAACCTGTATCTAGTTACAGTTAGGTATGGGTGAACCTCAAAAGGTTTGGAATTTGGATCTTGGAGGAGAAAGAAAAAGAGAAGTCCACATGTAAATCACTCATGTGGATTTATATAATAGTGTCAAGTGCTCAGATACATCAGAAATGGGCAATGGATGAATTAGAAAGATAAAGACAGGATAGGGTAGATAAATAGATTCAGATTATAGAGAGAGATGTCTCAGAGTCTATTGGCTCTGCAAATTTAGGTGCATATCTCACAAGATCAGGCTTTTTTGGGGGGGTATATTAGTGCTTGGCTTTCCAGACCCTGCTGAATGTCAGATGTGTAGATGGGTGTAAAAATGGAATATGCAGCCATGTAAACATTTCAGCAGCTGCTTTGTCTGAGTTCGGGTCTAGAAATGCCCCCAAACGGGGAGGGAAAGGCCGAGTAAGTTATTTTGTTTTTCCCAAATCAGTTTTGCCCTTCCCTGGTGACAATGCCTTGATTATTTTAGAATGCCTGGTGCAGCATATTGTCCCCCCCAAATGGACTATGACAGTAAATTCCATCAGAGGCTTGGCAAGAACAACAGCATACAATAATCTGGGCAAGCGGTGAGGTAACTGATTCCTAGATCTATACATAATTAACTGGGTAGGTGACAGATTTGGGTGGGTTTTTCTCTTTCTTAATGATAGCTGATTGGTGGGAGTAATCAGACCTTAGCATTTCTAAATGGAGAAAGGATAAATAATTGTAGGAGTTTTTTTAAGAAACAGGTTGGGGCACAGATATTTTTCAGATTTGCTCATTGCAAAATCAATACCCATCAGCTGTTTGAAATTAAAGGAAAGATTAGGTCCTGGTTTTATACATGCCTTATTGTATTCTGAGAGCTTTCTACTCAGCCAGATAAATCTTCTTTAAGAGGATTAGGAAACTTTCATTATCTTTATCTAACCTGAACTAACACTAACTCTGAAAAATTAATCTATAGACTGGACAAAACCCGATAGCTGTTGCAAAGAAGTAGGGATCTGGAGTTACTTTCTAATTGAAGTGGGCGGGTGGGTGGCTGGTGAAGGGGTGAAATCTGTTTAGTGCTGAGAAAAACAAGAGCTCCTCATGGGCAGAGCTGGTCTCATTATTCTTTGAAGATAATTGAACTAATGCATTTCAGCATTTATTTCTATGATTCAACTGGCTGGGAAAACTGCCCTACATCCCCTTCTTTGACAGCTCTTTCCACCAGTGACCAAAGCTCTCTAACCCATAGGATGTCAGTGTCACCCCCTCTTCTTAATGCACAGGGTCATTTTCCTGACCTAGTCACGCAAGGAGGATTCCTTCTCCTTCCAGGGGATGCAGGGCGCATGCCTTCTGAGTTTATAGTTCATGTTATCCAACAGGTACTGGAAGCTTTCAGACTTGTCTGATTTGGATCAAATATTCCAACTCAATGGAACGCCTTCAAAAAGAGATACATGCTGCAGCCCACCTCCTCCTACCCAGCCTGTCTCAGATCTAGAAGCTCTGAGAGCCTTCTGATTGAAGAGACTCCGAGACTCCCACTTTTCAACCCAACAGCTTATGTTATGCCAAGGCGTTTCTCTAATAGCATTATCCATTGAAGCTGTGTGCCAAAAGCCCTTTATGGCCTGTATTGACTTTGATGTACTTACACAATCTGTCTTCTTTCCTGAAAAGTGATAGCCTTGTTCTCTTTGAATCTGTTCCTCTACAGTACCTGACAGTTCTTTTATTTCAGCACTGCATTTCCCAAAGAAGAAGATAACTCTGCTGTCAAGGCCAGTAAGGTGCCACTGAGACATCACTTACAATGCTAAGAATCCCTTATTCCTCTGGAACTGAGCCCTACTAAGCAGGCGGGAAAGCAAGAATTGACAATTCCTGGCCGGCTCTTCCAATGCCTAGGATACTATCAAAACAAACTTCAGCTTGCCATTCTCGCCTTCTTCTATGGGAAATACTTGAGCTGTTACCAGGAGGATCTTCAAAAGCAGTCTCCAGCTGAGCTCATTGACCACAACAATCCAGACCCTTTAAGCTGATGGGTCCATGTCTTTGCTGATAACATACCTGGCTAACAACCATTAGTCCTGGGTGCAATTCCCAACTGGAAGAGGCAAGCTCTAAGGGGCCCAAGCTAAACTTTCAATTAGCAGAGTAACTAGTTGTTCTATGACAGGTTTCAGAGTAGCAGCCATGTTAGTCTGTATTCGCAAAAAGAAAAGGAGGACTTGTGGCACTTTAGAGACTAACCAATTTATTTGAGCATAAGCTTTCGTGAGCTACAGCTCACTTCATCTATATTCAATCCCAAGACGGCAGAGCACTTGCAATGGGATAATCATCAGAGGACATTGGGACACCTAGCAGAGTGTGGAACAGCAGCCAAAGGACAAGATTTCAATGCCCAACTACTAAGCATCCAAGACAGAGAGAGCAGGAATTATCAGTCTCATTATCCCCTGCACATCGTCAGCAGCACCTAATAGAAGCTGTACTGATGGGAAGCCCTGTCGCCCTTCAGCTTAACAAGTTTCTTTCTCAGCGTGCAGCACTGAGCCTTACCTTGCACGATCAGATGCACCCGTGAGGTCTTCGGGTGATTGTCTGTCTGCACGGAGCAGGTGTAGGGCCCCTCGTCGTACACGTCCACATTATGGATCTTGATGCTGTACTGGGTGTTCGTGTTCGATAGGATGACCACGCGGTTGTCTATAGACCACTTGTCATTTCCAGCGTACAGGATGGTGCTACGGTTCAACCAAGCTACTCGCGTGACCCTCTCATCCACAGTACACCTACAAATGGAGGGAGACAGTGTCAGAAAACAGGCCAATGGCCAGCTGGGAACGTGCCCACAGAGCTGCCCAATAGTGACGCTGAAAAGAGGTCATTTTGTTCATTAGTGGGATTGGGCAACTTAATATGAAAAAGCTCTGTACAGGATAATAGAGATGCAAACAATAGGGCAGCAAAACAACGAAATAGGGTTTTATAGAAACCACTCTAGCAAACGTATTCATTATTATTCTTATCCCATAGCCTCCAAAGTGTAGTAGGGACTCCACATAAAAAGCAGGTTCCTGACCCCCAAGAAGTTACAACCCATATTAATTGGACAAACGACCACAGAAACGATTCCACGGGACTTTTCAGAAGGGACAATACTAGAGACATTCACAGAGTGCCCTTCAGTTCCAAATTCCAGCGCAGGAATCTGGAGGGGATGTATCCCAGGGTATTTGACACATCCCACCTGTTCGGTCACGTCCTAGCCTTATGCGGATAAGTTTTGACTGTTCACTGCAGTTCCATGTGGTGCTCTGAAGCGTTGGAGAAACTGTCCCCCCAGAAAGGAACAGTGTCACCTTTCTGGGTGGAAGCCACTCTGTTGTCCTCTGAACGCCCAGAGCGGCTCTCCATAGGTCCCCTCTCTCATGACCATCACAGCCCCTACCCCTCCCCTTTCCCCTGGCTGGACACACAGAATTTTAGATGAAGCTGTGAAATTTGCTGACAGCTTGGCTTGTCAGTAAGGCCCTCCCGGCGGCCCCTGTGAGATATACTGTGCTGAGCCCCAGAGGGCTTGAACAGACTCAGCATAAAGGCAAGAAATGGACAGGGAAAGAGGCAAAGGAGAAAGACGAAGAATGAGGGGGGCCTTTGGAGAAGCAGCTGTAAATCTCTCTCTCTTCAATTATTTATTTACTGCCTAGGTCCAGCCCTCCCCTCTCCTGCCACTCGACACTGGACAGTTTTAGAGCTACGTTTCTGAGCGGTTAGTTACCATCGGTGAGGAATGGCGCAAAGAAGGAATTAAAATGTTCCTGGAAGGCTGGAACACATGTCTTTTTAATTCTATTTGATAGATGATCTTGATGTATTTTACTCCTGGGTCTGTCTAGCTTGGGAGCACCCACGGAAAAAGCATCACATGTTTGGCTATATCAGGAGTTAAGCATTTCTCCAGAGCATTCCCTTTCTTTCCAAAGCTTCAGCAAGCACGGAAGGCACGAACACTTGGTTGTGATAAAATGGACTAACTGGTGGGTTGTAATAGTAATATTTGGTCCTCCTACAGCACTGTCCTTTCAAAGATCTCCAAGGGCTTTTCATACATGAATGAATGAACTCTCATAATTCCCCTGACAGGCAGGCCAGTGATATCCCCATTTTACAGATGGGGAAACGGAGGCACAGAGCTGTGAAGTGGCTTGGTGATTATTGTTCTATGCATTGTGGCAGTGCCTATGGGGCCCAGCTGAGATCAGGGCCCTATCGTGCTAGGTGCTGTAAAGACACTTTAGGAAATAGTCCCTGCCCCAAAGCACATAGGCCCAGATTTTTGAGGGATTTAGGCATTGCTCTGCTCAGCATTGCAAGTCCTGAGTGAGTTAACTTCACAAGTGACTTAGGCCCAGATTCTCAAATCACTGAAAATAATGCAAGTTAGGCACCTAAATACCTTTACGGATCTGGGCTTTAGGCACCTGAGTCTCTTTGACTTTCAATAGACTTAGGGTCCAATATCTCTTTTGAAAATGGAACTTAGCCACCTCAGTCCCGTAGGACTTGAAGGCTGAGTGCAGTAACACCTCACCACCTTTTAAAAACCTGAGCCTTATGATCGAAATAGAAAAGAGGGACAAAGGGCAGGAAATGGGAGTATTCTCATCCCCATTTTCCAGATGGGGGACTGAGGCAAGTCGAGAGAAGTGACTTGCCCAAGGCCACACGGGGAGTTTGCGGCAGCAGAGGGAATCGAAGCCAGGTCTCCCGAGTCCCAGACTAGTGCCTTAACCACACCACCACCCTTACAGTTATAGACCCACCTAAGCTTATCAAGCTCAGCCAGCTGCCAATGGGACACAGACCCCCATCAGAGGCTGTCTCAGATACTAACCTGGTCCTCCACTGTACCTTGCCGAAAAGCTGTGTCTGTAGCCCATATTGGCCCAAGCGGGCCATTAATCCCTAGCAAACGAACAGGTCCAAGGCTGCTTCTGTTTTCAAATGGGAGGGATGGGAGCAGGGGGGCCCAGGTACCTCTTTTTGTGTTTGAGGCATGTGATTTGACATTGGTATGGAAGGGGAATTCTCAGAGTATTAACGCCATCGAAATCACAGCAATCTGGGGCCACAAGGGCCCCCAAGAGGTTATCGGGTCCTTCCCCCTGTGCTGAGGCAGGATCATCAGGCCATGCTGGGTCATGCCATGCACAGACACTGCTGCTTCTGCTCAGCCCCCTCTTCAAGCTTATAAATTGGCAGTATAAATTGGCTTATAAATTGTCTTCCAAGACGTTTCATCTCACTCACCTCTGCCGCCAGATGTGGCAGGAGGAGAGTGTCGGGCCTCTTGCACCAAAGCTGCAGAAAAGTTATACGCCTCCCACGCCATGTTCACCAAGTGTCAACTCTATCACGGTTATGATTTGGGGTGTGCGGGTGGGACTGAATTAAGCATATTTCAGTGCCCCCCTGGGCACACGGTGCAGAGGAATTAGAGATATATTCCCCCTTAAACAAATAATTCTCCCCTTGTAGCGGCTGCGTGCTCCCACTAGCCACTTCAAGTGTGGACTCCTAGGAAGATAGATGGTCCGTTGAGCTTGGCATGTTATTACCTTTACCCCAGGAGGCTGCCATATTTCAAATAAGATGCCGTTTCTGCAGCTACATAAGCTTTGCCTCTCAAGAGCTGGAGGAGCGGCAAAGGGACAGGTTCCACCACTCCAGAAGGAGATACCGCATCATTGAATGCGAGCCCAAGGACATGGTGGACCCACAGACCATGGGGAAGAGGGGTCATTCCACCCTGCATTTCCCCCATCCAAGTTCAGAATAAAAATCTTTTCAGGGTATTTAACAACAGACGGATTGAGCTGCTGGAATCATATTTCATGTTCCCCTTATACCACTCTGCCCATGCACCTTAATCTGGACTCGCAGCCCAGGTCTTGGCTTCTGTGTACAACTCTGCCAATGCACTTTAATCCGGATATGTGGCATCACCTGCAGGGCTAATCTTCAGCACCCGCAGAATTCGACCAGTGAATCTCAATCCTCACCTGCCGTACCCACATCGTGCTATTCCTGTCCCCAACATCGCAAGGTGAGGTTTTGCAAGGTGGTGAGCTGACGCAAGTCTCCTGGAATTCGGCATAGGTGGAGGGCACACAGTGCTTCCCAGGAGGTTTCCTGCAGCTAGCAGGATCAGCCCCAGAGTGCCGCCCCAAAAGACTCCTCACTTCACAGCAGCCAGCCATGAAGAACTGCAAGTTCTGGGGAAGGCCATCCATGAAATGAAAGGTGGGCTTGAATCGAAAGCAACCCCCCTACCCCTGATGGGCAGCATCCCTCCCACTGCTATCCCAGTCCTTCTCCCACACCCCCAGAACTCTGCCAGCACACCCCAGTCCTGACCTCCAACATACCCTGCTATTCTAATGTCAGGATTCAGAGCCCTCCCTTTATTCAAATGAACCGTGGGAGAGCTAAGCGCAGCCTAGTTAAGTTGAGCCCTAGGGAATTCCAGTCTAGTGGACTATTACTCCTGTCTCAGTTCATTATAATGAATAATAAAGAGATACTTACACACATTTTCTGTAAATTATTCATTGCGTGAACTGAAAAAATCAGGGCAGTAATATGTAAAACAGACAACTTGCATGTCTGTTCTCATATAAATATCTAGTATAAAGCCCCTCAAGGTACTATCTGGTCCCCTCATTAGGGGAGAAGTACAGGGACTAGGGTTTGAAGTGACAGTGAAGAGTCGTTTACTCCAGTTTTGTGCAAGTTAAAACTCCGTTGCTCAAATGCTTCTCTCGCTTACTGGGTGCAGTCCCTGACTGCAGGTGAACCTGTGTAGTGTGGAGCACAACATGCCCCCATGCAACTGCATCCGCTTGTCGAGTATTTGTGAGTTTCTGGTCTGGCTCCTGATCTCATTTGCACCGGTGGAAGTCAGGATTGGCTCTGGTGATGCCCGTGGAGTTACTCAGTTAAAAGACAGAGTCAACAAGATCAGAACCAGGCCCGCTGAGTCTCTAGCTAGGGCTGCTTGAACCTCAGCCACACCTTCTTTCAGCCGCCCGATGAGTTTGGAATGCACCCAAAGAACTCAAAGCAAAAAGCAGGTGAAATTGCTGCACTGCATCAAAACCATACACCTGCCAATGTTTATGACTCACTGAACCTGGGCTGAGTTTTGAGTTTGCAATGAAAGCGGGAGAACTGCACGGGTCCGGGTGTGTTGGGTACGTTTTGCACACATTTGCTCTCTGAAGCGCTTTCTCAGGCAAAAACTCCCATGGGACGTGACTTTACAAAGAGATGACCCTCACACAATGCCAAAACTTGGGCTCAGGCTGGTGTCTGATGGGAGAAAGCAGCACACCTATTGATTATGGTTAATATGAACCAGTACGTCACCAGAAATAACAAATTCTTCTTGACACATCAGCCCTGGAGATGCTCCAGCATAATTGAGACCAAGAAACTCTGTCACTTTGCACATGGGCTGGCTACTTGTATGCCGAGTTTTGTATTTTCAAAGGGTCTGCTTACAGAACCTGTCCACACTGGAAATCGGGGTCTAACTACAAATGGCCATAGGCACCAAAATTCCAGTAGCACCCTGCATAATTCTTTGACATGTTCCAAGGCCAATATCCATTAGCTCCTAAGCCTCAGGCATCCCCTCATCTGTGGAGTGGCCCTTTGTTCCTATTTCCAATTGCAAAGGATTATGATAATGTCTCCCGTAAAGCAAACAGGTAAAGAGACTTCTCCA